ACAGGTTATATCAAGGTCAAGCTGATTTAGAATAATGGTTATTTAAAGTACAAATTAATATTCAGTCGTTCAACTCTGAAATGGTATGACTTTCCCAAATTACTTATTACTTAGCTTTTTTTCCTAAATCACATTTAATTAAGTATGGAATTTCTGTAATTGTTGAAAAACCTTAAAAAAATTCAAACAAAGTTTACAACAGCTCTTAGTTTGCTTAAATATATTTTAGATAATGACCATGCAGTGTTTTGAATAACTATGCAGTTATAACTGTTATTAGATATATTAGTAGTTAAAGGAGTGGAGTTAGCACAGAGTTTCCCTAGTTAACATGATATTTCAGATTATGATTTTTATATTTAGTTGGTAATGATTTCTATAACAAAGATGAAGCAATATCTCTCAACGGATGCTATGGATTAACAAAAGTTGGAGAACTGTTGAAAATTTGAAACAGCTGTTAACACCTATTTTGAAAAGTCATTCAACCAAATAATAACTGTGAGTTCAACAATTATAAGTTTTGAAGACGAACTCTGGAAGCTTTAGTAGAAGTTCGTGACAGATGAAGTCTAACCATAACAAATGTAAATCAATAGGCACTGAGAGAATTTGATGATTATCGCGTTATATTAGGAATAGTTTGAACTCGAAAATGATGACTAGCAGATTACAATTCAGTGCTTAAAGTAAACTGTGTTTACATTGAAACTCGATTTTTTTTGTGTTTGATGCTATAAGAGAATTTTGAGTGCGCATTACTAGGAATCACAAAATTTGAACGAAACAATTGCCCAAACAAATCTCTAAATTCTTCATCTTTACGAAATTACTTTTATTAACTCTATGCAACAAATGATGCTAATTGTATCCTTTTGTTTTGCCGTGCTTCTTCAGTTAAAATTAAGGATTTTTTTCCGAACCTAATAACATATGGAGTATATTTTCTTACAGATTGCTGATGTAAGCATATCTCACTAGTGTTATTTGGTTTCATATTTCAAAAGTTGGTGACCGGTAGGTAATATTAATAAGCCATTAGTACACACTACTGATATTTTATCTTTTGAACTATAATTTAGAACGAAATAAGAAGGTACAGCTTGGAAGCATGAAATAGGCTTTGATAATGTTGTCCAAAACGACAATAAAAGTTTAAAAATCAAACCATCTAACTCAGAGAACTCAACAATACCAAATGTCTGAATGTTAAAACAATTCCTAACTGAATACATAAATGACTAACCTTTTAATTTATTTACAATAAGCTTACATAAGAATTAAGCCAACCAGTAAAGTTTCTTAAGACTTTTTATAGACACTAAGTTGTCCAGTAAATGGGAATTATGCAGATTCTGTAATGCGAAATTCTTGGATGGATTAAACTATACTAATTCTATGGTAATAAAAACTTTTTATTATTATTTGAGATAAAGATTAAAGACGAATTCTCTAATCCCTGTTATTTGATTCCGACTTTCGTGATATTAAATAAAGATCATTACTTTGGTTCATAGTATAGTTCTCTCTCCCTCTTCATATATATATATATATATATATAATTTATTGGAGCTGTTCACAGCCAAATCTTACAAATCCGGGATTAACATTTAACACAAGTAAGTTTGTGACCATGCTCTTAGTAATGTTTACGCAGAAATCAATATAAACTATGAATGTCTTAGCTTGAATGGAGAATACAATAGAATTAAGATCTATAAATTGGAGAAAGTGTTTAAAATATTTTTTTATTTCATAGTGAGAAAGATATAATCATACAGAAATTAACGATGAAATTACTCTACATTATTTCTTTGTCAAATAAAAAAGAAATCTCCAGCAAAAAAACAACTATCCTGGTCAGTTACCTGGTTCGACTTGAAATACTTAGAGTCGAATAACTTTTTTATTATTTGAAAAACCTTAGGTGGAACAACAGACATTAGGTAGATTAACGTCTTCACAAATCTTTCAATTCCAAATTAAACCATGTTTTATTTGATCAATAGAGGAAATAAACTGGGAGTCATTTAGAAACTTGGAATTGTATTTTATCTTTTAATCTATGTAATCAAAAGAAGTAAAAATAAACACAATTCCGGTTAATGGATTACTGACCTTAAATATCGATTTTTATCTAAACTACTTCCTTCAATGTTTTTATTGTATATTTCCAATGAGATAATATCGCATGCGACAAAAGAAACACTGAAAATTTTTACCAACAAATATTACATAGCTCAATTGCTTAATCTATAAATTAAAAGGCTAGTTCCAATACTTAGTCTGAAACAAAGATCATAGGTACATTTGTTATGTTTATATCCAGTTTTCAGTAAACATTATGTCGTTTAAATTTATGTAGTTTTTTAAACCATTCATAAACTGTAAATTAAAATTTAAGATGATTAATGTACAGTAAGTTATTGTTTTCATTTATCACTAATAATCCCCTTGAGATTTAAAGCTTATGAATGAATCATTCTGATAGGTAGAGTTAAATGAGTAATGTTACACTTTTAGACCGACATCTATAGTTTGTTTATTTGTTCTAATTAGTATGTGATCGTTTTACAATGTTGAAGTTCGATACTTTTGTTTTAAAATGATAAAACTATATCATATGTCTAACGTAAGGAATTCAAATTCTTTTTGTCTAAAATAGTTAAAAACATTATGAAGATGTGTTTGAGGATTAATTAGGTGTAATTTTGTGGAGATAGGCAAGACAAAATTATTTTGTAAATGGTTTTTGATATTATTTGATTTTGTTAATTTTTACAGCCTGTACATTTACCACAAAATGATTGTACATGTTGTTTAAGTGTATGATCTTGAACACACATTTTTCCGTTGTGTAACACTTTGAATGACACACGTCGTTAACCACTCGTAAATACACTACTATACACACGTCTCTTGTTCTTCGTTGCTTGTAGCTACAATAGCTGAACTCTGAAACATCTATCATCTACATTTATAGACTGCAGCTACATTTCCATTATATTCTATGCTTGGCTATATTACTAGAACTACAACAACCTCATTGGAATTATCTGTAATTGTGGATTCTGGTACCAAACCCAATCGAAAACGCACAAATCTGCTGATATAAGTAACATCCCTTAACTTTTATTTGTTTGTAACTTATAATTTGCATACTATAATATTAACATCTGGACATAATAACTTTATTGCTATTTTTGAGTTAATACGTTTTTGGTCCACCACAATTTTTAGAATGAATTTACCTATACACATGGTATTGTTTACTTGAATTTTCCCATTGATGTTCAGGATTCCAATTAATCCGTCTCTTATTGACATATGTGCATACTGTGCGTATTGCCTCGATATTGCCGTAATTCACAAGCATTATAAGCAAAGATGGTTAGTGGCTAGCAGTGGAATCCAGAACGCGAGTTCCGTCCTATTCGGGACTCGTCAGCTTATAGTGCTTGTGAATTAAGGCAATATCGAGGCAATACGCATCGTATGCACATATGCGAATAAGAGAAGGATCAAGTGCAGTCCCAGACATCAATCGGAAGACTAAAGTAAACAATACCAAGTGAATTTCAACTTCACCCCATTGAACAAGCAAGTGTATATCAGGATTCAGTAGCTGAATGGATAACGTGATGGCGTTTGAAGTGGACGGTACTGGGTTCCAGTCTCAGAGTGAACATCAACTCTAAGATGCAGGTAAATCCAGCTGGGGAATACCAAATAGGACGAAACGCGTATCTCCGATATCACTGCTAGACACTATCTATCTTTGCTTATAATTTACTTATACTTATTAAAATCTTGCACGTATTCACATAGGACTTTAATAAGCGATTGACATTGAAGTTAATTCAAATCACTTCATTAGGTGTTGATAAAAATCTATAGTTGAAACAGTCTCAGCGACTGAAATTTATATAATTCCATCGTTTTGTCCAGCAAATTTGTCTGGTCTTACTAAAAAATATCTTTGAGAATTTCGATTCTGATTATTACTCTGAGGAAGTCCAGACCAGTTTACTGGACGAAACGTTGGGGTTATTTAAATATTTCGGTAAAAATAGGAATACGTTGACAAGTTATTGAAGAAAAAAGATACTAGCGTTTATGAGCACATATCGGGTTTAAAAAAACTGGAATTTAGAGATGATCTATTTGTTAGCCATGATATCGATTTACGGTTGTTCGTCTGAAAAAAAAATTGGGAAGGACTAATTTACTAAATTTGTTACAGAAACATTCTGCGATACAATTTTCTTTATAAGCTTGTAAACGGAAGATAAAGAAAAAGTTTCCTTATTGATCAACTTCTTTTGGGAAAGCTTCAAGAAAACAGAGTTCAATAAAATGTATTTTTTCTCAGTTTTTGACTTCTCAGCAGTCTTCTTAATGATCTTTACAGAGACGAAATAGCGGCTCAGTACACTATAGTTTATAATTGCTTTTCAGTTGATCCCAATCGATGACAATAAGTTATCCCAAAGTTTAATTAACGTCCGCAGCTAACAAACTAAGTTGTTTTACTTAAATCATGAACTGGTGAAAGTTAGATAACCATCAAAACACCCGGAAGCACTGGAAGGTCGTTTCTTCAGAGTATATGACTCTTCAGAAGTGAACAGTCCTGACCCCGTACTTTGAAATCCAACCCAGAACCTTCGATCAACTTTCAAATCACTTCAGTGGCCCTGGAATATCTGACTCCAATTCGATCATGTGGTTGTCGTTATCGTCTTAAACATGTCGCCGATCTTTGTATATAATTATTGACTTAACTCGCGTTAGCGAATAAGGGAATTAAAGAAGTTAAATATAAGCTTAGCAAATGAAAACTTTGCAAAATATTCTTTTTCTATGCATAAACAGTTGTATGTTATTCAATTCAAAGTTAACTTCAAAACTTTCACTCAGTTTTAATTTATCTAGTTAGACTAACTAGACTCCTATTCCATTGTTTGTCATCTTTATTTTAAAATCAAAGAACCAATTTATGAACACAATGTACTAAACCAGCACAGATATAGTGGTGGTCAATGAATATTATGAGAAATAAGCCCAGATTTTAAGACATGAATCTAGAATACATAAATAATTCGTTCATTCATTCATTCATTCATTTTTTTTAAAATATTCAGCATAAAAGCTTACAATGTACTGTACATAACAAAAATAAATAACATAAGATAAGATCCTTATTTAAATAAATATTCATTCTTTTTGTGAAGAGAAAAATGTAGACTGGTTATATAAGCGTAGTTACAGAAAAAAAACATTGATTTATGTTGGGATTGAGACATTGAATGAAGGTATGATATACATGTATTTGTGTCTATATTATGTAGTATGATCTTATTCATGTTTATAAATAAAAGCTACTAATGATATAAATACTTATAATTTGGTAAAAAATAATAACAACCTTTCAATATGGTAACCTATTTTTATGATGAGAAGATAAACAACAACACCGAAAAAAAATATATATCTATACAAAGAAGAAAGTAAGAACCATCTTTAAAAATATAAAAAAAAACAAATAATGAATAAATGGAAATGGGAATACCTGATATCTAAGATCACTTATTGCATATACAAGTATAGTGTGCTTTTTCTTAAGTTACTTTATTATTATTATTATTATTATTATTATTATGGCTCTGAATGTGTTATAATTGAGTGATTAGTTGGAGAGTTCGAATTATTTGCGGCAAGAAACCGATGAGCTGTCTCTTCATATACTTCATTTTCATTACCACGATAAACTCCAACTTCATAGGCAACTACAGTTGCATGATCTAATTTACCAGGCATACGTCTAAGCATATCATTAAACCATTTTCTTTGTGAATCCGTTGAATAAGTATTATCAAAGTGTTTATTATTATTATTATTATCATTGTTGTTTTGTACTACATTTTGATTTTGTCTTAAATGTGCATAATCCGGATTCTCTAACCATTCACGTCGTTTTGTTGTAATTCTGTATGCATGATTAATTAGTGCTTCGCATAAATCTTTGGAACTAAAAGTGCCTTTTTTACTACTAGAATTCTCTGTACTAATATCTAATTCATGCCACACACGTTCTAATTCTTTCGCTGCATATTTTCTACGTTCATACCAGTTTAATTCAAGTTGATTGGTGAAGTTAATTTGATGTGCATAAATTGTCTCAGTTTCATTGTTATCATTAGTATTATTGTTATTATTATTACTGTTAGTAGTATTTATATTTGTAACGGGTGTATAAGTTAATTTTGTTGGATCACTTGGTGGGGGTGGGGGTTGTGGCCAAATATTTACTCGAGGTGGTGGGGTTAAAGGAGAATTATGTAGCAATGATTTGGATGGGCGAGATAATGGTGAAGTTGGCGATTTATTAAAATTACATTTTAAAGAATCTGAAGATAAAGATGAAGTACTTTTGACAGAATTTTTGTTGTTATTGTTTACTTCATGAATACCTATATCATCGATGGATGAGCTTTCCTCCTCACCACCTTGTCCTTCGTGTTCATCATCTTCATCAACAAAATCTAAATGCGGTGATTCAGGAACAGCTAGTTGTGTAATAACTGGATCGAAATTATCGATTAGTCCATCTGATCCAAGCAGAACTATATCACCTGGATCACAAAGTGTTACTGAAATAAAATCAAGCAATAAAAAGATATTTTTAGAGTGCTAATAAACATCTGACAAATTACTATTTTTTAGATTGGAATATCATATTACGTTCAGTTATGTCTTTCTCGAAAACTTAATTTATACAGTTAAAGAACTAGCTACCACTGTGTATAAAAGGTGAACTTTAATCCCACTAGAAAAACATAATTACATGAAATATGTATTTATGAAAATAAGTCACATTTTCGTTTCTAATCATGTTATTTTTCGCAACCTTAAGCAGTTTGTATCTGATGATAAACCTTGAAATAGAATGACCAATTCAATTTATCCTTCAAACTTTGTTTCACTTTACTTTCATTCTACTTCAAATTTCTCAAAGGATCAAGTATATTTTCATAGTACTGAATAGAGTTTAACAAAAATGGATACGATAAGGATAAGTAAAACCAACCATTAAGTAAAAATCAAGAGTTATGACAATTATAATTTATTCCAGAAGTGACAAAATTTTATAAAATCCCTATTTTTTATTAAGAAAAGATACTTGTATTTTCCCAAAAAAGAAATCTCACTATGTTTTCAGACCACTGAACTGGTTTAGTGCCTAATCTGAATAAAATTCAATAATATTCGCATATCCCCAATGATAATTTTAGTGCTGTGAGATAGAGAAATCAAAAGTTTTTAATACTACATATTTTACTTGGAATTATAACAGGAAATCAATCATTGATTAGAAACATTTCATATATTCTACGGTATATTAGAAATGAATGACAAAAACACACGATCTAACTACTTTATGAACAGTAATGATTAAAATATTTATTAACAGTAAACGCTAAAGAAATATGTTAGATGGTTGTTTTCTTGATACACCGCGTATAACTTGAGCGTATAACTAGAACGCCAGAACCCTTCCAAGTCGCAATGAGAAGACAGAAGACTAGTGAAAGGAACATTGTTCCAGACAGTGTCGATTATGGTACAAAATTGTCAGGTATTTATAGTTTTTAGTGAGAACGAAATCATCATTACAGTCATCCAATCCGCATACAGGAACATTCTAGAATATTCTTCCAAGAGGTGATTGGATGGAATATCTTCGGCTCCTTCTGAGCCTCTTACAGGTTCCTCGGGTTCACCCGTGGTCCGTCCTCACAAAATATCCAGTCATTTATTTCAACCAATTTATAAATGAGTTCTTCTGTGTTCATTTTCAGTGAGTAATTTTTACATGGTGGATTAAGCATTACATTCGGATAAAATAATCTTATTGTAACTATACGGGAACTGGTATTGAGTAATGATTATTAAATATCTTAATGCTAAGTGGTTAAAGCATAATACATTGATGACCTTGAGTAACTTATCAGCCAATCAAAAAACTCCTACAAGTTATAAAAATATAACAAAATAAAGTAATGAAATAACAGCTTTGATTGTGGTAACTGACCCTTACAAGTCAAATTATCCCTTGTAATAAAGGAAAACAGGGTAAGTTAAGTTTACAAAATAGGGTTAGCGTTTTCGACACGAACTGACATCAGTTGTAAAGCAATACCTTGCCACCTTTCTCTATTGTTAATGTTATTGCGCTGATCAAGCCTATTGTACATCATATATTCAGATAAACGAAATAATTAGAACAAATGGAAGTAACTGTTGTTGTTCACATAATAAGCAATAGATTAAATGAAGTGAATGTTATTAAGGACTTCAGATTCACTTATTAACCGTTATTTAACATACAACAGGTTACTATATTCCAATTCTCCTATTAGTATTGTTTGGATTCACCCATACCTGTAGAACTTCAGCTGTTAATCTCTCTTTGTATGAAATAAAACGTTTTTGTAGGATTCTTGTGTCATTATAACCGATCGTATGGCCAGACTCTATTGAATATACAATGTCATCGCTGAATTGTTATTTACATTTTCTCCACATCAAATGTATTATACGCACTACAAGATATCTCGCTTTCAACATCGTTTACAGATTGCCAGGCGAAACGTCGGATCGAATTACAGTTCAATCAATGAGATTCCTACAAATTTAATTTTCCTCTAAAAATTCCAAGAGTCATGTAATTTACAGCACCTTAATTTCCAATTGATTAACAGAGAATCCCAGTGGAATAAGATTAGATTAGTTGATATAAATTATAGATTAGAACTATGCCACGTAAACAAAGCCTATTAATATTAGCTTGAAAGAGGTAATAAATTGAAAGTAGGCCTAATACAAATAATCCATGAGATGAATAAATCACCTTTGAATTATCGATTAAAAGAGCACAACACACCGCATATACATACATATACATGGACGGTACACATGTGTTTCACTGGCCATAATAAAACTACATTTTCTCCGTCAATCAATGACTAAGCCTATAGCAATTTTTTTAAAAGTAAAGAACATAGACGGTGAAAAGAAACAATGAATAAGTCACTATAAGTATTGTGTGTGCTGTCTATATGTATATGATGACAATGAACGCTATAGTTACAAACAACAAATAACATCTATCAAGTTGAGAAAAAAAGTCTTCATTCATCATAAACGTCGAATTGATTAGTAAAAACCTTTGAAGTTTTTATTTACTTAATTGTCTGTACAAGTAAAAGGAGAGGAAAATTTATAAGTGTGTGAACTAGAATAGTTAATAGTTGAAAAAAAGGAAGAAAAATTTTGAATTATCCTACATTAAGAGAAGCTTAGAACTATGTTAATTAGTAGAAAGAGAGAAATTCAGTTTATAAAAAAAAGTCAAATAATTCGTCGAAAATTTGAAATTGAAATCGAATTCAGTGGATTGAAAGTAGACTTTAGCAGGTAAGCAAATGGTAAAATTTTTCAGTATCGGTCACCTGTTAGTTCACATATAAAATTATAACCAGTAATAAATAAAGTATTTAAAAGACAAGATCAAAAGGTGGTAGTAAGTCTGTAATTATTAGGAGTTCCAGGATAAAAAAATTTGTCTGTAATAGATGAGGTTATACATTATATCTATGTCGATGTGGGAAGCAGAGGTTTATCAAACTTTCTTTCTGTGTACAGAGATCAGGTCAAAAGAGCTTGATGATAATGGTCTCTCCAAAGAGGACTAAATGGGAAATTTGAATGTCTTTATGATATCCATCTTATCTCCACTGTCTATTGAATGTTCAATAATAGAACTTATGAACACTCTTATTCCCTTGATAAATTGGTTTCAAGGAAAATATTGAAAAAATGTTATTTCGGTCTTTTCTATGTGCTTAGTAATAAAACTGCGTTAAAGTCCACAGCTGTTAATGGAGATCATCACAAAAGGGTACTGATTCAATTTTTATCCAATTAAATAGCATTCCATGTTATAGACCGTAGATAACAGAGAAGCTTTTTCTTTTGCGAAATTATCTTCCCTTTTTTTCCACATAAATTTAATTGTGATTTGACTTAGAAAATGATGTGTTCTTCACACATATTTGTAATTATGAATTCTTTAGTTAACAAGTGAGATGTAGGCCAATTTTAACATAAAACTTTATTGAATTATATGATACAGGCAAGAATTTATATTTCAATAATCTTCATCGCGTCAACTGTAGAGAGATAAAATGGATTTTAGAAAGAGATTCCTCAGTTACAATCAAAATAATCTCATCTGTCAGTGTTATATATTAAAATTACGAATTAATCAATTATACCCAATCGAAGATCTTGAACTAATGTTTATTCTCACAGATTGAAATCATGAGTCAGTTGAAGCTAGACCACCATTGAAAACCTGGAAGCACTGGACGGCCGTCTTGTCCTAGTATGGGACTCCTCAGAAGTGTGCATCCACGATCCCGCACCACGCGGGGCTCGGACCCAGGACCTACTGGCTTCGCGCGCGAGCACTTAACCATTAGACCACTGAGCCGGCATCCAGCGGTGTTAATGTCTAACTTCAACCAATCCACGAAGTTGCGCCACCATATACCATTGTCTTCAGTGAGCTGATATCTCACAATAGACCTGGTTGGTGGTCTAGCTTCAACTGACTCATGATTTCAATCTATGAAAATTTCTAAAAATCTCCACAAACCCCTTCTGATAATGTTTATTCGACTAAAGTTGCCAAACTTCAGATTGGAAGCACAATAGAAACTCGTCAAGATAAAAGCCAAGTAGGATGAATTAATAAGAGTACAGATAATAGCAAAATAGCAATTATGAAGATTATAGTCCGGAAGAAATTAATGAAATTGAAAAAAAAATAATAAATGTAGGACAATAATATAACTCAAAAATTCGAGAAAGATAGGGAGTGAATACGTCTGTTACTTAATATCACTAATCTTGGGTAGTAATTATAGCAAGAATTTGAATCGTCTACTCCGTTCCTACAGATACGATTAAGTTTAACAGTTGATGACTTTGTGAACTAACTTCATGTCTTAGTTTTTTCCACTCTAAGTCTTCTTCAACCTACTCCAGTGATAATCAACACTAAACGTCAGGATAAGAGATTAGTGGACATAGGGAACATAGGGAACGAATAATAAAGATTAGTAGTCTTATCAACCGAACTGTCATCTCCATCGTTTTACTTTTGCTGAAAGATACAAACGTACACATACAGAGGAGTCATTTCAAGCCCAGAAGTCACTTTCCCTTAGAATTTTAAAAGCCAATTTATATTCCTCAGTGATTAAATAATCGATTACACACGGATCAATGAACACGAAAACAAATGAGTAATAGAATGTTTATTTTCCAATTACTGCTTATTACACCAACTAACTTGTAGTTAAACAAACAAAACAATAAAATTTTTCATCATAAATAGTGTATTACTAAGTTCAGTAATTCATTTAAAGATTAATCTTAATAGCCAATCATAAGTTACGCAGAATACAATAAAAATGTAAGTTTGTGACTACCCACTGATACCGATGATGAATAATAAAACGACGTACTTATATTTAATTAGTCATAACGAAAAACTATGTACAGCATTTAATGCTTTGTTTAATTTTGTTGAATAATCGTTCAACTTTTGAAGGAGATGGAAATAATAAAAAAACATTGAATATGATAATATTTAAGAAAAAGACAATAAAGTAGACCTGAAGCAAAAAAATGGACGATTCAAAACCGAATAAAATAAATGAAATCCTAGATAACATTCTAAAGAACAAATGTAATTTGAATTTAAATCAAAGTAAGGATCTAGTCCTCCTTAGTACGGAAACATTCGCTGAATTTATTCAAAAAAACAAGAGTACCCCCTTTGGATTTCCGTGATGGTCAGTATCAACTTTTAAAATTCAGTTGCCTTAATAAGCTGTGTGATTCACCTATGACTGAAGGGATGTCACGTTGTCATATCTTTAGACTGCTTATTACTATAAGTTTATTTTAGTACCAATAACAAATACATAATTAAAGACATGACTATCAAGCCTTCTGATCGAATTTAAGTCACTATTTAATGACGTGACTAAGATGTTTAATTGGTAAGTGAACCCAAAATTTACGAATTTGTTAATTTTTCTAAAGAATTCTGAAATGTACAAAATAATCCACAAGTCAACCTGCTAGAAACTTGAGAACTATTTTTTTCTTGCATTAAACTTGGAATACTGTCGATTTCGCTATCAGTTTACTTAATGCCTTAAACTATAGTGAAAGTATTTATAGGTTTGTTGTTTCATATTTACTTATTCAGCTGAAAACTTAAAGTGTTTGTCGCGCGAAAAACTAAACAAACAATGGATAATGAAATTGACGGAACTTAAATGAACTTAAATAAAACATTTTGGACATATTTATTTATCCAGGTTACGAGCAGTATAACAGTCCGTTAAATCATTTGATGAGTTTGTAAACTCTTATCAAACGAAGTAATTAAAATATATATCTCGTATGTCATGTCAATTACCATAGATGTAGGCTGAAATGAACCTAAAGCCAATCAGATCAAGATATGTTATTGATCAGATTCAGTTGCAATAATTTAGATGTATTCATCTTTCATCTACCTTAAATTCTTGTGGACAGAATTATTCTGTCCTTTTTATAACTAAATTTCATCCATTTATTATTGTTTTATCTTCAACTGTGACAAAATATGAAACTTGGCAAATTAAACTGTTACACAGTTGTAGCTAATTCTATATCGTTTACGTTTGTAGGTTTATTATTATATGAGGCTTTTGACATAATTTATGATAAGATTTTGATATTAAAATATTATAAAAACACAATAACTAATGGGTACTTACCAGCACATATAAGATTGTTTAGTTCTGGATTGCCATTTTTATACACAGCACCCAATGCACCACCAGTATCCCGAAAATCCCGTACAGGTGGTCCAAGTATTTTCTCCAATTTATTTTGTTCATTTGATTGTGTTGATAAATTATCAGATGACAAGACAGAGGTTCTTACCCAACCGGTTATTTCACGTATACCATGGAATTTACTTAAAAGAAATGCTTGACAATCACCAACGCTTGCTATTATAACAGAAAATTGAGCTTTGCCATATGCTGAAGTTTGTTCATTTGTTAATCCATGTGATTCATAGGTTGTATTTGTTAGTACCGGTAAAATTAGTGCAACACAAAGAGTAGTAAGACCAGTGGTAACGGAAACAATTTCCTCTTGAGCAAAAGAAAAAGCCTCAAATAATAATTGGGCCGCATCCTGTAATGCAATCACAATAAGAAAAGTGAACACATTAGCAGTGAAAGTGAACTAGATACTATTTGTAAGTAAGGACTTGAATAATTCCCGTGCTGTCTAGATCTAAATTCCAATCAGTCTTTGTAGGCATACGTGGACCCTGTGTGTATTTCTATGATATAACTATTTAATAATATATTTCAGAGAAAATATGGATTGTGACTAGCATTAAAATCCAGTGAGCCTGTTTCGTCTTAGTTAGGACTGGTCAGCTTGATAAACTTGCACTCTAGTGTTGATGGTCACATCGAGACTCAAACACAGCATCGTTCACGTTAAACGTGAATTCTATTGAAAATTTAACCAGTTTACAATATGCCTCTGCAATATGTAAATGAAATAAGTATTCAACAGGTTTGTTAAAAAAAGTGGTTTATCTCCTTGAAAACTAACAAGTTAACCAGAAACTTTCACCGTAATGTTACTCGACAACTAAAACCCCTTTACTTCTTGTGAAATGTTCAGGTTCTTGTCTTAGAATTAATAATCGTCAATCTGTAGACATTATCTAGTCTTAAAGAAAGGTAACACAAAGCATACACCAATCCATTGTTAAGTCACTTTCGGTTAAAAATGTGACTTACATACGAACTTGATTTTCTCAACGGTTACAGAAACACTATGAAAGTGAGCTTTAAAAGAAACATGAAATTTAAGTTGTGAAGTATTTATATGCTGGTTTAGTAACAGAAACTTAGAACTCTATGTTTTTTGCTTCATTTTCAACCTATATTTTATCACTACTGTTACGGAATATGACCTGTCATCACTTAAATAAGACAGCACATAAAAATCTCTTCAGCTGTTCAAATTGTAAACTGTTTCCCAGTATTAGTGAATGTTTCTGGAAGAATAAAGTGATCTGGATTTCCGTGAAATGTATTTTATTTAGTTACATTTCTTTCGTTAAACGGATTTCTCAAGGTGTATATTATCGACAAAAAGTAGAGTTTATATTTTAACTTGAGACTACATATGTCAATATCATCAAAAGATTTATATAAACTTAAACGTGTAAATAATAAATCTCAATAAATATTTCCGTACTCATAATACTGGAACTGTTATACATATTGATTTCAAATAATACAAGTTCTTACTCTTGTGTCTTTTACGTTGTGTTTCTCTTTCATACAACCAAATAAATGCGATTCTAAATAGGTGTAAATAGCTGAAATTGCCGATCTAGCAGCTTTCATTGATTCATTGCCCCAATTTACACCATCTGCCACAGCTAAATAGGCAGAATCATGCCGAGCTCGTACAACGAATGCATCAGCAATGGGACCACCTAGAAATTAAATAAAACATATTTATTAACAAATAGTTTTGAAGTTGACAAGTTTAACTACTATGGTGAGATGGCAGTGAACAAAAAATATTCTTTCTCTTACGAATATAGTCGGCAAAAATCACCTTTTGCAGTTCAGTGATACGGATAAGATGGAAAGAGCTAATATCGTTAAGAAAAATGAACAAACAGGAATTTTGTTTGAATTCTTTTCTCTGTGTTAGGTGGTTTGCTTGCAAAGCTTTCATCGTCATTGTAAACAGTGTCAGTGCTTACAATTTATGGAAGTCTTCTACAAATCTTTCCCATACATAATGTTTTGTAGTCAATAGGCTGATATAATATTGATGACTTATCTGGTGTCAGTTAGTATAAGTAAACAAGGATGAAGCAACCAACCAAAAATAATAAATTAAAAACTTGATGTTTTAGAACTGAAACGATTTAGAAGAATGGAGTTAAAATATCTTCCAATAATTACCGGTCAGTTAGCCTGTTATTTGAAATAGTGTTTGTAGTAAACAGCGTTTTTTATTGCAGCTAATTAATGTTCCTTAGAAGTTAAACTTTGCAAGGAATATGGGTGCCATTGTAAAGTTAGGGGTTAATTCTAATAACTACACTTTTTCTTTATACATCCAAGCAGTTTTCTGTCACGTTAATAAGTATTTTAAATTAATCTTAATTCACTACTTAATTTCAGTGATGAGTTGTTAGCTTATACATTTGAATTGTGGTGGGTTAGTGATTAAAGCATTCAAAATCCAGCCACTAAGTCCCAGGTTAGAACCCTGTTTCATCTACTTCGGCTTAGGTAACTGAGTAATATCATTACCACTAACACTTAGAGTATGAATCATACACTTGAGCAATTCATGAATCAGTTTATTTAAATTTTAAACATGATATTTACTGTAAAGTTAATTATTCCATTTACCATTGGTTTGACAAATTAATAGTCGTGGTGTAAACAGTTTTTTTTAATTGATCAGAAATATTTAGCCTTTTAAGCCTAAAACATATCCTCAGAATGATGTTTTGTGGAGATTGTAGTAATTCCATGGTTGAATCCACACAACCCCCAATTCTGATAATCATCACATGCTCACTAGTAACTGGCTTCAAGAGGTATTTCCTGGAGTTCTAGTGAGAAGCCGTGACCAGTGGAGTTCAACCGCGTCTGTTACGAGGCAGTTACTTACTGAAGACAATGGCGGACGGTTGCGTGATATCGTGGATTTGTTGAGCAATATAATGCCGGCCAGCTCAGTGGTCTAGAGGTTAAGCGTTCCCGCGTACGGGATCGTGGATACATACTGCTGAGGAGTCCCACACTAGAACGAAACGGCCGTCCAGTGCTTTCAGGTTTTCAATGATGGTCTAGCTTAAATCGACTCATGAATTCAACTATTAAATTATTTAAAATATATGTCAGACTTTATTTAACCACTTAGTAGCTTGATGAGAAATCCATTTCAACAATGAACATTTAATGCTACTGAGTTGTATTTCAGTAGGTGTTATTTGAATTAATCAGTTGTTTAATCTTTAAATTCATAATCAAATAAAAAAATTATGTGAAAATAATACCAACGTGTGTTATTTATCTTTTTAATATGATAGGATTTTTACTTAGATACGATTTTTATAAAATTACTTTGTATCACACTACATACTCGTTTAAGATGTGATAAATATGGTTAGAAGAATAGTTTAGAACAAAACAAAATCTATGTATGCATGTTTTGCTATGAAGTGTAACTAAGCAATTAAATTTGCACAATACATAAGACGAAACTAGCCTATCTCTAGAAGATAGTAAATATGTTCTGAAATGGTGACATGCTGATAAATAAGTATAAGAGAATAAACAAAAATCAATTTGGCACCAAAAATATAAGTAGTCAACAATGCAGGTGTACTAAATAAAAATCAAACTTCATACAACACGTTGGTGTTTGTTTAATAACATGAAAATACAAGAAAATAGAGAAGAATTGGTTAAGCGTATTAAAAATGATTGTATCCTTTGATTTTAAATGCTATCTACACATTACCACTTCCTCAACCGCTGAATTGTATGTTAATAATCAAATAAACCCGCCAATAGTCAACATAAATGAAACAAAAGGCTTTACAGACAAAATATACAAGAGTTTTAAGTTACTCAGGTACTGAATTGAATAAAATCCAACTTTTCAATAAGAATGAGACACCCGTTCCCAAGTTTTATTTTATGTTGAACTAAAGCCAATTAGCAGTATGATATTCTCTGATGAATCTTGTTTGTCAAATTGTTGGGAGTAATTTAAATAGACTTTTAGTTGAGTTTCAGAAGGAAAAGACTAAACATAGCTAATCTTAATGCACGAAGAATACCAAGAGATGTAAGTTTAAAAACACAAATCTATGTTGGCTAACAGTGAAATCCAGGGCGTGTGTTTCGTCTTATGTGGGACTCATCAGCTGAATGTGCCTGCGTCCCAGAGTTCATGTTCAAAAATTAATTAAGAGCAAACAGAATTCTCCTGGATCTTTATTCAAATATAGCTGGACTATCAGTCAATTAAATACAAATTATGATTAAAAAAGCATTGATTAATCATTACCAAAAAAATCACAAATAGCAAAGTAAATAAGTTAAGAAGAATGACCATTTTTAACACACACATATAATGTATAACGGAAAACCTAGTTGACCTGAAGTATTTATTTATAATAAACTAACAAACTGATAAGCAAACCCCCGTTGTGTGTTTTAAGATGATCTGACCTTAGTATTAATAATAGTAAACACGAGAAAGTTTTTGAGATACACCAATACTAAGTATTCCTTCTCAGCACTCAATAAAAAATAGAATAACCATAATAATTATGATTCAGTGGCATTGTGGATATGAAATGTCTTCATCTTATTCTAATTGTCATAATGAAATATTAGACTGAGCAGTAGAATAATAAACTTTTCAATGACGTTCTCTAAACGGTGAGACATATGACGACTTGAAATCTCCCCTCTATCTGCTTCTAGTTTCTATTTCAAGACTGTCCTTATCTGCGGTTAATGTTAGTTTTAGTTATTGTTCTTATTAAAAATGCATTTTGTGAGGTTGCTTGGTCTTCGGGTCACCTTTTTCTTTGTTATTCCCTTTTCAAGATCTCCCCACTGACGCTACTCTCAATGTTCCCTTAGTACATAAAATATCTTCTAGCTAGACACAACCTGCTACAGACATCATATTATTATCTAGGAATGATAGTTTTCTCATAACCATACGACTACGGCGTTAGTAATAACAATACTCATAACTAAATAAAGCTTTTTAATATAAACAGAAGTTCAACTCTTAGCTGGTGTCATAATCAGTTGATTTGTTCCTGGTGTGAACTTTTACGATTCATTGGAAGTCCCTAGTTGATAAAGTAATTAATCTGCACAGAAGTAATGATGAAGCATTAATTCATTGTGCAGAAATAATTTATAGATTTCGCAATCCATTTAAATTCCAAAAGTGGGCTAATATCTCAACGTTGCAAAAATAAAACACGATTTAAAATATTTAACAGTAGACTGATTTGACTATTATAGCAACAGCTAAAGTATTCTATATCCTCAACCTATGATTTCACAACACTATACAGTCATATTAAGGTACCAAAATACTTGATCGTCTGGAGCCTCTCCACAGTTACTTCCGATCTAAGTCTGAACAGAGATAGGGTTGGGGATGGAGTAAGCGACCTCACTTTGTAAAAAAGAACCTCGATAACAAGACGCTAACCCAAAAAAATGAACTAGGGTACTTGTAAACGGTTTTATTGAAATCGGCTTCGATTTTCATAAATTACATGACCCCCTGGAAGCAAATGTTAATGAGTTCTCAGACAAGAAATGGTAGGGATAAGACTAAGAGTCTTTACGATGCCTTAGTCAAAAATATTTTACGTACCATTTGGTTTTCCAGTAAATATATTTTTCTCGTATAGAGAAACAGATATTCCATGTGCTTTTCGATTCTCTATTGTCTTCCAGTAGTTGGAATGGTCTGTAGAAAGTCAAAAATGATATACATATGGTACCAAAATTGTCCTTTGGTCTTTAAGTAACATACAAGAAATAAATATAAGTTGGTATAGTAGACTGGTGTTTAATACCTCAAGATCAAACATTTTTAATGCACAACTTGTTGAACAAATCTAATGAAAAATAGTTAGTTATTAAGATTTATATGTCTCCCACAATTTAGGACATTAACGCATGCAATAACTCTCTCTGTCACAATCTGGATATATAGTAGATTTATCTACTTTTTAAGCATTATTTAAGATACTCAAATCCGTTTGGGTTTTAGGATTGACTGAAGAATCGTTCTGTGCAACACAAAAATTCAAAAGTACTCACGTATAAATTATGTCGCTTTGATTCCATTTTGCCAAGTGACTGAAGATAGCGTCAGAGCACGATGTGAATACTAATTTTTCATTTTAGGTTTTTATCACAGTTATGTATACACTAAAACTTATCGGATAAACATATTACTTGTTCAAATGGCTGGCAAGATAAAACCTGATGAACTTAATCACAAACTGATTAATCAGATATTTAAAGGTAGACCTAGGAAAAATGTGAAATTACTAGAAATGCTTCTCTTTTATCCTACTATATCTGTTCTATAATTTATGTGAACAGATTAAAATTTTCGGTTTAACTAGTTTTCTACTACAGCTTATAGCAATTTTTCTTTGAATTATATCACTGGAATCAAGGTATTGAGTTGAAGTTTTGCTCTAAAGTAATTTTCATCCTTCATTCATTTTGGAGTCTTGTAGCGAGCACAAAACTGATACTAGATCTATTACGAACGTTTGTATAATCAAATCTAAGAGTGCATGTATCATACTGGAAAACACCTTTAATATTGTACAAATGTTTTAAGCAACTATGAGATACGACGACTACAAACACTTACAGACATTGTGGCTGTCCTTTGACCCATGCCACTTTTTCACTGCTAACAAGCCCTTTTTGGGGCCTGTAGAGGAAGCAAAGACTTTATTAGACAAACTGTAAACAGGTATTGTAGGATAAACAGCTGCATTAGGTAACTCTTGAGGGCAAAGAGATCGCCAAACATCACATTTTGAAGCTGGATGATGAAACTGATCTTCTAACTGATACAGCTTTGGGGCAATATACTGCCATTCATGAGTATCCGAAATTGACCCTCGACCACGTCTCAAACCAAAAAAACTATCCCGTAAACTCCATGATTTGGTTATTTTGGGTCTATGTGAATCCACAGAAAATTGACCAATGGATTTAGAGGACCTAAAGAGAGTTTTGAATAAATGATTAAAACGACTCATAGATCATATTTAATTGACAATATGAAATTCATACTCGCTAACTTCTCACTTATTCAAATACAGAAAGTCAACTGCCTTATAGATTTCGTATCAAAATGAGAACATTTTGCTTGATGTCTAGGCTTCAAGCTAAATATTGGAGAAAGTAGGTTTCGCTAAACGATTGTGTGACGACTTTATGCGGAATTCAAGTATTTACCAATGAATATTGGCTGATGGTAAATTGATGCTAAATTCCAACTGAATGCGCTGATATTTGAGACAAAAACTATTTGTCTGTTTCGATGACAAAACAGTTATCAGATCACGATACGTTCTGTCTGAAACTCAAACATTTATTTTTGACCACATTCAGGCACAAAGATGAATCACTAAAATTTAGTGGCTGTTAAAAAATGATATGATCTACACCGATCAGCGATCAAGAATTATGAGTTAACTCCTACTAATTTTTACTGAAATCGAGACTTCGGATTAAGGACATGAAATACCAATAAAGTTCGATCAAGCACATTTTGCTTTGTCCGAAACAGTTTGAGTTTATAAGTATCGATGCCAAAGTTGTACTTGATACTTTCAGATAAATTGAGCATTGGATAGAAAGTAAATAATAAATACATTTTTTATCAAAGTGACATTTCGTGACTTATTGTAAACCACTTCTTCAGAGCAAATTGTTTTACGCTGTCACAAAGCGTCAGAAATACTATTTTTCTACTGATTGGAACGTAACAAAAATATATGAATTAGTTTAACGGTTTTAATAAAAAATGGATTTAAATACTGACAATGTTGACAAGCAAACAGCTAAGCTCTGTGAAATCAGTATTTTACTTTTTAAAGCTGATGATTTTGTTTGCCTAGATAGGCTTTCTGATGCAAGCGTTATATAGAAGGTTATCAACGAAGAGAAATATTTACATTTCACACAACACCGTAAAGGTTCCTTAACTTCTCGAAGGAAGAAATTGATAACTTTGGATAGACATGAAGTAAAAATGTATTTGATACCGGCGTAAAAATATGCAAGTGAGTATGTTTGTTCCAGTATAGTTATTGTAAAGCTTTGGCTCAAAATCTCGAACCTGGAGCCACTGAAGCCCTATTAACCCAAGCTACCAACTTGTAGCTCCTGAATGATCAAACACAATTTGTGACCGCAGTGGTGTGATTCATCTTTAGGCTTGAACATTCCAATACTAGACTCCACATACCACAAACGTTTGTGGCTATTTACGTTTAGCATATAATCCAGTCAACTTAGTTAACATACGTTTACAACAGTATTGATTACTTGACATTCGCCACATAATCATTATGCTATCCAATCAACGCTTCAAAATTAAGTTAAATAGATCACATCGTAAACATCTATAAATTAACCAGACTGCTTGTATTGAGCCCGAACCCCTAAAAATGTTACTACTTAGGAAAGTGACGACGCAATACAATTCACAAGTGTGACAAAAGACCTTTGTTAATATTAGTGTACTTAGAATACGCAACTACCATTGAAACAGATTAATGGAACACACAAATTTTTGACTATGGATTTAGTTCATAAAGGCAAAAAGGTAAAAAATCTAAATGGGAAAAGAGCAAGGACTCCAATACATACAGGAAAGATATACGTAAACAAATACAGCAAAACCGATTCGCTGAAGTACAAAGATGTATGACAGAAGCGGATGAAGAGTGGTAGGAAACAGTTTATTTCGGATTCTACATAATAACTCATTGGAATTTGTAGTTTGGGATCTAGATTGGTAATCATAAAACAAACCACGAAGTAATTCATTGAACTCATTGTTGCCATGTACAGACGCAAAACAGGCCGGTTGATAAAAATGTATTCCAATTGTAGTGAAACACAATAAATGTCTCAAAAACAACGAAAACTAAATGAGAAGGTGAATTGCGCGTCGAATGAAGTTACGTTATCACATCAAAGCGATGTGCCGCGACAACCCTCACGAAAGGTTTGAATTAAAAGCGGTGCAACTAAAATGTCAAAGGGTGTTTCAGGAAAATTATCGAAATATTATAAACACATTAATCACCTGTGACATCTTGAAGGTTTCTATGTTTGGAGTTTCAGTGACCTAGGATTATTCAATCACTTGCTGGAAATGGCTTTTACATCAGAACCGGTGACTGCGTACTAACGCATATGCTTATTGAATGTTAGTCCCGATAATAGTCTTCCTGATTTCCGAGATGCTACTGAACAATCCCTCACGAAGTTTAGTAGTGTAGAACAAACAGAGCAATAATTGTCTTCACCTACCGCTCCTATAAATAATGAACTTTGAAGATATCAATAACAGTGGTTTGTGTTCAGATTAAAAAACAGAATTGTTTCTGTTGACATATCAACAACTGGGACTTAAGTGTCAGTCACATAAAAATAAACACTCTGTTCTGATTGAGTTCATTAAGTTAGACTAAAATCAACCTTTTTTGTTTTATTAAGGACACCATATGTGTATATCACCTCATAACTTCCGTACAAGTCTAAAATCAAGTGGAAACTAGTCTCTAGTCTAAATAATGGTATTTGTTAACAAACTGAACCCCTTCCCAACATCATATTCCATGTTTGTGTCTTCGTAACTTAGTTATCAAAAACTTAACATAAAACGACTTACTCCTTATATCTAGTGGACAACATTATCAAGTAACAGTAGTTTACAAATTCATTGTGTCGTTTCAGCACAAGGACACAAGTGATGATTTTTTAGCGTGGAAAAACAATTGAGCTCGAAATTTTCGGATTTAAGGAGGAAAGGTGAATCGACTCCCACTTGAGCAGGTTTGAATCTAGCCAGAAGGTGCATTTTGTGCTGGAGGAGCATGGAGAGTAGCGTCAGTGTGGAGATCTAGAAAACTGAATAACGAAAAATTAGGTGACCCGACGCCCCAGTAACCTTACAAAATGCATTATTAATAGGAAAAGCACTCGATAATAACTAAAAAATAATATAAACTCGAGATAAGGATAATGCTGCAGTCGAAAGTGGATAATAAATCAACCAGCTACATCGTAAGTCTCGAAATTTGTAGCACTGATAAGACTTGATTTCATTATGAGCGATTTACTACAATGTATTGACAAGTTTGGTTTGACTGATCATTTCTGTATTTTAACGTTCTGTGCGGTAAACAACTGTTCAAGTACAGATCACGTGATTTCTTTTTTGAGATCTCTTGGAATATCTCCTAGACAAATCAATCACCGTCCACTCAACAGTAAAACAGTATTAGATTGAATCCTAGTTAACTGAAACATTCCCGATTTCGAATGAAGCATCTCAGTTCATCTTCATGACCTATCACAACCTCAGCGCCTCGTCGATGACGCCTTTCAAGCCGCTCCGCATAAGTTGTGTACTGTATTCTAGATATTTTTCAGTTGGAGGACCAGATAACTCCCTTATAGGGATTTCAAATCACTATTTGCCATGATTCCTAAATCATTACAAACTTTAGCCTGTGGCAAAGACGTTCTATTTACTACTGTGTCACAGGAGCCATATTCATGCCCGTTCGCTTTGGTACAATCGTGCCAGAAGTCTGATTCTGATGGCCATCGAGTTGTCGTCTCAACCGGGACACTCAAATCTTTCTGTTAGCTTATTTTGTCAATAAAACTATGCATAGGTCTACTCAGATAATACTTACGTCCCGACATTAATACTGTTTCACGTTGAAACTGACCGTGAGATCTATATTGAACACGTTGAGTGGCTGGAAGGCTTTTTCGTAAGGCGTCATATGCTAATATTGTTCGTCTCAACAACATAATTTTCAGACCGTTCTAGTTCAGTTGTATCATCAAGTATTAGAACAGACTATTTTGTAGCTCTTTAAAGGTCATTTTGGTGAGACGAAAAAGAAACAGGTTAACGATTATCCGTTTGCGATATCCGCTCATGATAATTATGCATAATGAAGAGTACAACTTCATCAAAAACCACTTCTAGTTCTAATTAAGCAGCATCGAACGTTTATCACCAGTTATATTGACTGAACCAAATAATATTATTATCTAATCATCTCGTGGTTTTAATGCCTCATAGGGGAATCGAACAGCACTTCCATTTATTCTGCAATTGTGTCCATCTGGTATTCCATAAATCGTAAGACGATGTGCTTTCATTGAAAAGAGAATTCGTCAATAATACGCCAAAATATAAAGTACGCTGACCTCTCGCCGTCGTTAGCTGAAACATTTCATTTTAATGCTTCGGTACGATTTCAGTTTGTTCAATTGTCGTCAAAACTTGAACTGTAGATTTGCTAATAACATTGGTACTGGTTTGTAGAATTATGGTCTACATGGGTATCAGTATACTTATCTATTCTACTAAGATAATTCACTAGGCACCAAAACAGTGTTTTTAGTATCGTGTGGCTGCCCAATTATGTGGAAGCCACATTATTGTCTATACTGACCCATCTCATCGTGAAAACTTGTGGTTGCACCTGAAGAACACATCTGGGCTGTGGATGCAACGATATATTTGATATGCGGGGGAATAAGTGACAGAATGACCACGCCTTCATGAATGGGCTATGAATATATATGTAAATGAGTGGCTGTATCTCATCGCTCTAGACACGGAGTAAAAGCCTTCAGATCTGCTCTGAGAGGCCTAGACCTAGACAATATAGGGACGAAAAATATTCCTACTATCATATGTAAACACACACAAGAGGAGTCCAATGGTTTACGATGCCACGTGTAATCGGAGTTTCACAATGCCTTCACACGTAACACCTTTTTAATTGAAGTGGCCTAGTTCAGTCGAATCAGAAGTCATAAATGAGGTGGTTGGAAGATATATTTGAAAAGCTCCTGATATATTGGGAAGTTTTTAAGATAAGCTAGTCAACAGTTGCGACGGATGTGCAGCAAGGTGTAATTATCCGTGATATGGTGCTGATGACTGACAGAACACTTTCAGCTAGGAGGGTCCAGTAAAATTGTTTAGATCGGCATCAATATCAAAGACCTACAGGACTACTTATTTTGAGGATTCATTTCTCGCTACAGTTTCATGAACATGCTGCCATAAAGACTATGTATTGGCACTGGGCCCTAACCACACAATCCTCAAAGCTGGATACCAGACAACTGGGAAAAAAGATATTTAACATTTAACGTGGAGAAAAACCCAACGCTGAAGAAGGCGGGAACAGGGAGTTGAATACAGTTGAATTGACCAGATGGCGTGGCTCGGCCTTGCAGGCGTGGCTATCCTTGAATGTTGTTATATACCTTTTACTCATATTAAATACATTGCTCTATCCCTAGCCAAAGCTTGTTCTCAACCCTGTATTGGTGATTGTTACGACTCGATCAGTTGGTGTAGACGATAATGTGACTTCCACGTAAGATCCTATAGATTAGGCTGCTATATCGTTACAAATCTACAATTTTGTGATTAGGTCTATTATTAGAGCAGTACTAGTATCATAGTAGATCATAATTCTACAACTATTCCAAGACAGGGATGTAGGGCTAGGTACAGTCGAAGTTAGACGGTCGAGTTAGCCGACAATCTGTTAGTAAAATAAAGTTATTATAGTTAGCATATCCGTTTATTGTAGTATTTCCTGAGGTCACTTCATCCACTATTTTCTTAAATGTATTGATGAAATATTCGTGTTCAGGTAACTGTTTGCTGAGTCTCACTTGGTGATGTCTGTACAACAGGCTTAACACTGACTGAAGAGGAGGACTGATCTTTTTAATTGATATAAGTCCCATTTCAGTCACATTAACAATCAGAAAGGAGGCACATTGGAGACGAAACTATTCAGGATGAAGGATCACTTCGACATAAAGTGGACAAAAGACTCATATTGTCTAGATGGCTTAATACAACTGTCACCGAACCAATAATTCATGATACGCAGTCTCCAGTGAAAGTTAACAGAAAGCCCATTTCTATAAGTAGACAAGACTGGTACCTTATGATCAGATAGAAGGCAAGACCACAGTCGAGAACTTACTATAAGCCACAAAAGAATATCAAAATGGTGCCGAAATACACTGAATTTTACGCCACTTGTTGTCACCATCGTGCTTCACAATATAGGAATAGACCATCACAAAATTAAGAGGGTGTATAAATCGCTGAAAGCCTCTGAGATAACAGAGCTTCATTTGTTGGAAAACTGTACTGTTCAACAACATGAGAATTCACTGATCAATGTGGCAGTAGGACGACTGGCCAAAGCAGACTGGAAGTGCTGATAGACGCCGTTACTTAACACACCACATACCGTTAATTTTGCAACCTTAACACTTTTTTCATGTTAATATTATGTTCATTCACAAATAATTTATGCTTACATGAGAGTTTTGATTAAACCATTCCGAGTTTCATCACAAATGCAAATAATCACACTATTCAACAACGTTTAGATATTATTCACTATATTTAAACACGTTCTGTCATGTTTAAAAATATACTACAATGACATTGAGGAAAGATAAAAACAGAAACAGCGAAGGGTGTATATATAATTTGATTAAGTGTTTGTGATGAAGAATAATATTAAACGGTATTATGTATGTTACATATATTGGATTTAAAATGTTATTGTTGTGGTAAGATTTATTGGTAGAATAAGAAATTAAGCAGTAGGGATTTAGGAATGTGCGATGAGAATCTAAATCAAAAGCTAAGAAAGATCGCCAAAAATCAGTTTGTGTGGGTTTCATATAAGTGCTGGGAATAAAGTTATAAACAAACCGGCTTACTTTGTGGTTTTATTTCAGAATGCATCAGATCTGGTACGGAAGTTTCGGATCTGAGACTTGTTGATTCAGTGACATTTGTATCATGTCGTTCAGATAAGATAGATTTTGCCTCCACGTTATGTAAAACTGACCCTTCATCCTGCGTGGTTTCGTCTTCTTTGTGCTTCTTTACAGATTTATAATAGGAGTGAAGTGGGACTAATGTAAATTAAGATGCTCAGTACTCCACTTCTTCCTATGTTAAGCTTGTCGTATAGATATTATTTCGTCTTTAATGATTCCAACTTTTTTCCAGTTGGAATATTTATTAAGCTTAGAATATTAATGATATATATATTTCCAGATAACAGTAAGTTACATGTTCTCATGTGTGTGTTTACCGCGCTAGCATGCTTTTTACTGTCGTCGCTAGCATCTTCAGTATTCTTCCTGTGAAAGTTCTTAGGCATACGAAAAATCTTTCGTATCTTTCGTACGGCCAAAGCTTTCTCGAAAAATACAGTATACAGAACTGATGATAATCAACGTTATACGATCGCTCTTCCGCCTTGTGTGTTACTTTGATGTATATTTTGTGTAATCATTTTCTGAATTAATCACAGCGCACTCTTGGATAAGAATAAAGAAACGATTATGTTGCCTACACTGAATGGTTTAAGATTCATCAACATCCACTGCAAAACAACAATAATTTACTTCTGATATAAGCAGGAGACGAAGAAACTAAAGGCTCAGTAAACTGCTACATGAATCAGAGACACAACTTTAATGGAAACATGTTTTGAGTGCATCAGGTAAACAAAAAAGAGGTAATGTACGACATGAATGTGTAAACCAGTTCCTCAATTAAAATAAAAGACATGTTAAACTCCCACAATCAACGATTTTGGGTGAAGCTGTTATCTGCTTTTCAGTGTGTTATTGCACTTTCAAAATGTAAAGGCATT